AAATATAGTGAAATGCGTTGATTCACTTTTACTACGTATGATTGGTTTCCGAATATTGGCTGAGTAGTATCGGGCAGTGTTTTAACCAAGTGAGTCATTTGGTCAACAAGACGCGGACACGTTTGTTAATTGACCTTGCAGTTTTATCATCAAACCGCTGTTTCTGTAAAGGTTGTTTAAACGCGCTCTTTGATAATGGACTCTATTTTTATGCGCATAGGAATTATTCACTCAAATGAGATGATAATTTGATGCTTACCAAAGACCACAGAACATAGACATGTGTTCTGTGATTACGATCGACGCGATTGGATTTTTTGCACGCAAAATACCAAAAAAGTGGTATCCGTTTAAATAAATAATTATTCTAATCCAGAATGTTTTGTGGCGATAACCGTGTTTAGTCCTTAAGAGCCGATGAGGTACTTAGGTAGGTAGTTGAATGTCCTGAGAATAAGAGGAAAAGCCAGACGGATCGATACTAGGTATACGGCAGACAAGTTTTGCTCGCGAATAAAATAAGTATTCTATTTATCTTCATAAATGTCAATGACCGGCTTCCTGACTATTTAACTGAATAGGACAAGATATTTTTTTTTATCAATAAACATAATAATACAAATGACCCGCCTGATGGTATGCGGTTCGTTCTCTGCCCTAACTTCATCCCCTACAACGTGAAAAACTCGCGCTCTATTAAAAGAACAGAATAGTTAATTGTTAACTCCGATCTAACTACGAGTAGTACCTATTCAATCTATGATACTATGTACGATATCCCAGTTAAGTAATTAATGGACTAATTTTAGTAGTAACTTAAGTAGTAATAATAATAATAATAAAATAATGCAGCCGGGACCAACGGCTTAACGTGCCTTCCGAAGCACGGAGGAGCTCGCTCGAGATAGTAAATTTTCGGTCACCCATCCAATGACCGACCATTGCGAAAGTTGCTTAAATTCAACGATCGCAGCGGAACGCGCTAACCACTTGCGCCATCGAGCTCCTCTCGCGTGGTGGGTCATGGCCCAATCTCCCTATTCCATCCATAGGGAAGGCTTGTGTCCCAGCTGTGAGGACATTAATAGGCTGATGATGATGATTACATTACTTATAGTGAAAATTAAAAAAACAAAAATAAATTTAATGTTTTGATTTCCTCAGAACTCATTCTTTATGAAAGTTAATGTTTTATAAGATTTTTCCTGGATGCCAATTTTATTTATAACACTTCCAAGAAATGGCGCATCGATAAAACTTTTCTCTTGTTATGCATTCTACAGTATGCATATGAATACGTGCATAGGTATTTCTTGGAATAGCAAGTCTGAATTTTTCTAATAAAATTTAAGGAAAATTTAATTTTAGACCGGTTTGAGAACCACTCTTCATCAGTTTCAAAGTTGTAGACAAAAAGAATAGCTTATTCTTTTTTTAACATGATAGAAATCTAAAGTAGCTGTAGGTACTTGAAAGGGTATTTAATATCGTTGACTTTAAACTCCTATTGTATTAAAATTTTGATACATATTTAAGCTAATTATAAGAAGTTAAACAAAATCCAGAGGACATTAAATTTTTAAGTTTGGTTAGAGTTGATGCTGTGGCTGGTTTTATACTATAAATTATTATTTTTAACACTCACACTAAATTAGCCTAGCCTCAAAGTAAGCACTGTAAGGCTTGTATTAGGGAATACTAGTGTAACGGATAGAATACTTATACAGTACATATATAAATATATTTACATAGAAATAATATTAAACATCCATGACTGGAGTACAAATGTTCGTATTCATCACACAAACACCTGCCCCCACTGGGATTCGAACCCGGGACATCTCGAGTTCGCGGAGGTCGTTAAAACTATCTACTACTTCTATACTATGTGCTTAATTTATTGCCATCGTAAAGAAAGTTCATTAGGATTGCAAAAGAATAATGAAGACGGCAGTCACTTTAACAGGCATTTAATATAATTATCGTCTATAAGTGCTGCTGTTGGTTTATTAAAAGAAGAGTTAAAGTAAGTATGTATATGAATAAATTTTACGCCCAAAATGGTTTGACCCAGTTTACTCGATAATTTCGCCAAGCCTTTGAACACTCCTGTAGAAGATAGGTGCGTATCGTTACGTCACTTTGCAGTAAACTTTTAATTAAACTAAATGTTCTATAAATTATCACGGTTTTTATGGACACTAAGGAACGGCTTGACATTGTTATAAATGGGCTAATTATGAAAAAAGGCAATTTGTATTAGGTAGTTATTGGTCCTTTACCCTACTGAAAGTGAGGATAAACGGGACAATGACATTTTTCTCGTAATGCGTACGAAGTCATGGTCAGAAATTAATTGTTTGGCCCTACCTAAGTCAGGTATTAATGTTAAGCTCTAGGTAGGGAGACTGAGGTTTTCTGAAGGCGGGTGCTCCAATTCAAGCGGCAAATACCTATATGTATCGTATAATCAGTGCCGTCTCTGACCTATTAGAGGCCCTGGGCATATTAGGATAATGGGGTCCTTATGACCACTGTTTGGTGATATAACAGGACTAGGGAATGTGTATTTGATCTGAGGGGGGGCCCTATCGACCGCGGGGCCCTGGGCACTTGCCCAAAGTGCCCACTGGGAAATAGGGGCCTGCGTATAATATAATAATGTCCTATCAAATTCTCCCACCTATCAAGATGTGCTTCTAATTATCAAAATAATACCTATTAAATTTAGTCTCAGCTACAGAATGTGATTTAAGCCAACTCGACTTTTACAAATACAAAAAAACAAAAATCTTTATTATTCTTCTACATCAAATTTTACATGGTGTGGGTCTTCTTCTTTTAAGTTAAGTAACCTGTATTAGAAGAAGACCGCTCCTTCATTCCGGTCTTTATAAATAATAATACAGCAATAACTTTAATTTAAATTACTCGACTTTTACGTGCGAACTACTGAATAATCTAATAATAAGTTATAAAACTGTACCTAACAAACAATTATAAAAGTAAGTACTTAATATTTTTATAATTGTATGTTAAGTTATTCGTAGGTACCTATCTATTACATAGGTATTTACAACGATGAAACATCCAATTCAATGACATACATTATTTTTAATTTAAAATATAAACAGACAACTTTTTAGTGGAGCAACATTACATCCATGGCACAAAATGCATCGGAGGCAATTTACTGACGAAGGTAATTTCAAGGCCGAATACAAAACAGATGTTTATTTTATATCAGTTCGCCAACGAGATAAACACTGCATTGAACGTGATAATATTATGAGTAAATAAACAAAACTATACAGGGAGTACTAGTCTATTCATCATGATTCAGTTCGCATTTACATCCAAAATAAAATTCCATTTAGAACGTCTACTTTAGAATTTATTTAGAAAGCGAAAGAATAGCAAAAACTGCACTTACCACAAGAATAGTCACCTCTACTATCTCACTCACTCAAGTGAAAACCATAGACTATTATTCTATAGACCGCCTTGAATGAGTGATGATTTAATGCATGAAGAGAGGTATTCAATTCAATAGGCTTACATTACGGTTACGAGTGAAGAAGTTTTATGAGATAGAACTTTATAAGATTGTTATTTTAATTAGAATATCTACCGTGGTTATTCAAAATACTGCTATGATGTATGTGTACTTACGTAATTCATTTACATTTCTGAACGTGGGCTTAATGTCATTTTTCTCTCTGCTTAGTAGAGATGTGCATTGAGGTCCTACGTATGGATACTAGGTATTACAATACTTGGTAATTATTAAAAATTCTTTAAATATGATAAAATATTATACATATATAATTTGATTTATTATTGAGTATGCTGAGCAAGATAAAAAAAAATGATATAAAAAGTTACAACAATACGTTATTGAAGTGAAACTTCTTTATCGGCGTTGGAAAAAAATTTACCGTCACATTTTTTTCGGTTACGCGTCACATTTTTCCGTTACGCGCCATCTTTTTTTTATATTAATAGTTGATAGCTGAATGATCACACTGTCGCCGGCGAGAACTCTCTCTACTCGTTTGTAGCTGAGTGACAATAGTTATTAAAGATAAAACTCGCTCAGCCAAACTCGCATAGCGATACTCGCTCAGCGATACTCGCTCAGCGATACTCGCTCAGCGATACTCGCTCAGCGATACTCGCTCAGCGATACTTGCTCAGCGATACTCGCCCAGCGATACTCGCTCAGCGATACTAGCTCAGCGATACTCGCTCAGCTATACTCGCTCGGTTAAGCTGGCTTGGCTGTTAAAAGCCGTGCGCGTGCATTTTAACTCAGGACTGCCAATTCGTTTCTAGTTTCTACTCGCTTATCGTTCATCGTCGGAGGTGGAACATGTGCCTTAGATTACTGAGCCGTGTAATCATAACAGTTTCATAGGCAGTAATTTGTATTCATGTCTATGATAATAAAATCCTTTTGTTTAAACTTTATCTAATTTAACTTTATTTAACCAATTTCTGGGAAGGTGAATGTAGATCATTTTTCAAAAAATAAGGCCATAAAGAAGTTTCACTTCTTACGTGTGTACACGCACACATTTTTTTTTATTTTATTATGTATTCTGTACATGAACAGACACAAACCACTATTAGGTGAATACTTTCGCGTTGAGTTAAATATATTATAACTACTAGGTAGTCAAAAACAAGAATCAAAAAAGTGGTAAAAGAAATAGATGCAGAAACTATTTAAGATTGATTTAAGACATAAAGGAAGACAATAAGTTCAGTAGAACTAGAAATATAACAAATTTGAGAAGCGCGGGTTGGAACCAAAAGCGTTTGCAGCTATTTTGCTTACACAAACCACTAGATACAAAATTAAAAAGGTAGGTAATTTTAAATGCGAGTAACGAAATGCAATTGCGTGTAACGTTTCGGTGCTCGGTACTACATTTCATACCTGTTATTCAGCACCGAATACATTAAGTTTGCTATAGCTCTAGTTCAAATGTCATTGTCACTGTCAACCTTAAATTTGACTTTGACCCACGTGCGTGTTATTTTATTGTAGTTTACAGTAGTTTATAAAAATGAGAGTCCTTTCGGAGCAAAGAACAAAAATATTATTCGAAAAACTTACAAAATAGTAAGTATTACTCATTCCTAAAAATTTAAAATATACAAATGTTTAGTAATACTTGTGTCACTTTTGTACTTCGTTTTCGTAAACGATGTTTTGAGTTACCTACTACTGTTTTTTTAATGAAATTAATTAATTATCATAATATTTTCAGTATCGGAGTTAATGTAAAATTGCTGATAGACCGACCAGATGGCACGTACTGCTTCAGAGAGAAGAATGATAGAGTATATTATGTATCGGAACGTTTATTGCAACTTGCCCAAACAGTGAAGCCTGAAAACTTGATATCTGCAGGAACGTGTTTCGGAAAGTTCACAAAAACGAACAAATTCAGATTGCATATAACAGCGTTGACTTACATAGCACCTTATGCTCCTTTCAAGATATGGGTGAAGCCCTCTGCTGAACAACAATTTCTGTATGGTCACCATGTCATAAAAAGTGGTATGTACTTTTATTTTCATGGTTTATACTGGATCTAATGCTGGCAAGATTCTCTGAACCTAAAATTTATTTCAAACCATCAGTGGAGCACTTAGAATAAAACAAAAAGGGGAGATACAGCACTTGCAGCTCAAAAGTGATCCGCTTAAATTGTGGTGCATGACCATAATTCACTTTTGTCACAATTAGACATTCAAATGTGCTGCATGTGCACTCATTATAACAATATTGTATATATAGTATAAAATCAAATAACAAATGCATTAGCAACTCTTTTCATTTGTAAAACTAAAAACAATATATTCTCAAAAATCACGGTTTGTTGTGAATATTATTTACGTAATCGCCATTTTGTTATCAAGAAATGGACAACAATTCAGCTCAGCCATGAGGACTCGGAAGCAGACCCACCGTTTTGCTCGCACTGAGTTGAAGCGTACAGTTCTGTCTTGCTCTCTCGATTGAATATTTATATTCAATTGTGTGTGTGTGACAGTTGCTTATACTACATAGAATCATATATTATTTGTATAGTGTACTGTATCTTTACTTTTTGTTTTAATCTAAGGTTGAGCATCAAAAATTTTAAAGTTATTGTGGGACTGCTACCATGTGTCTTGTTTTTTGTGATTAATTTTTATTGTTACACCATCATATATAACTGGATATTAATTTTAAGCATGAAGTCCATTATATGCTTTGAGTTAAGCCAATAAAGTCCAACTATGTACCATTATATTTGTAAAAATAAAGATAAAAAGTTTTTTAATTTCTGAAAACAAGTTGTATGTAAATCAAATGTTAACAATCAAGTCTGCTAGAGTTGAGCTTATGAAATTATTAACATTAAATGCTATAAATTAGAAATGATATTGAATACAAACTGCGCCAAAAAGTGGTTCGACACAAACTGCAATCAAGTGGGCAGGGCAAAAGAACGGCAACTAACATATCAATCATGGGATTGATTGGGATTTCCGTTCAACATTATCTTACCCAATGAATGGATAACCAAATTAATTTGCAGATACAGTGGATTTCTTTTATTACGACCTTGGTTGTAGCGACCATTTGCCTACAGCGATGTTAAATCTAAGTCCCTTCGTATCATATCATAGTTATCGTAATTGTCCAAACCAAAATGGACATCGAAACATAATTTACCACTGTATTTGATTTGTCGAAGTGTTTTGTTTTGTCTCTGTGTGTGTTGTGTTAGTATTGTATTGAAGTTTAGTTGTATGAGTTTGGAATACTGTTTAGAATGCTTCCATATCATTAATCATTGCTGCAGTGCAAATAGATTAAAAAAATGGGTAAACAATTTCAATTTTTATTTTATCTTTATTTGGGAAACAAACAATGAATACTCATACCTACATCTAATTAACAAAACATAAGTATATACGTAAAGTTTCCACTATAATATAAAACATATAAAGGAATTCAGTTAGTTAAAATCAAGAATGAAAAAATAATGTTAATAATAATCAATTCTTTTTCATATATTGTTTAGAGTATCCTTTCTTAAAAATGTATTTAAATGTTCCATCTTTCAATTACAGGACTTGGCCGAATAACAGAAAACACACCAAAGCACCAAGGTGTAGTGGTATACACAATGTCGGACATTCCCATCGGTTTCGGAGTGGCAGCGAGAACTACAACAGAGTGTCGAAACGCAGACCCCCTAGCCACAATCGCCTTCCACCAAGCAGATATCGGAGAATACATCAGATCAGAGGATACGCTGACGTAGTATTAAATAAATCGGTTTTAGTTTTTATTTCTGGTTTTCTTTTTAGTTTTTCTGTAGGTCGATTTTGACAAGAGTGTATCCTTGTCATTCTCTATATGAAGAGCTGGCGAACAAAACGGTATAATTATGCATCTGGTCAAATTACTTTTTTTGCACAGTCTGGAGGTTTCGGGCCTGTTGAATTAAAATCTCAAATAATTTTCAATCAAAACTTCCACTTAAAACAGTGTTTAAATTACTAAATTTATAAATTAAAAACCATGCCAAAACCCAAACCAGAATGGATATAACTTACGGGTATGGCTTTGAAAGTAAACATCAACTCAACTTTAGCAGCCTCGATGTTTTAAATAAAACAAAAAAATTACTACAATAAATTCCATGCGGACCAGGCACCAGACAGGACTAGAACCCTTCACTATGCGGGTGAATGCACTGACCATTATGCTACCGCAGCCAGCAATTTTATTGGCCAAGCTGTCCAAGATTAATATTTCTCCAAGCAATATTTACCATTAGAAGATAATTGATTCAGCAATATCATTTGGCAAACTGACGTACTACTAACATGGTCATTTTAATGCCAGCCAAAACAAATGAAGTATTGATTTCATTTTGTTTCTATTGATATTTTCATGAATATTGGTAGACAATTGTGTGATGAATGTGAGCATTTGTACTCTAGTCATGAATCTCTAATATGTATTTCTATATAAAAATATTTAATTATTTATTAGTATTATATATTCTATCCGTTACCCTAGTAGTAGGGGAACCCAAGCGGGGATTTTTGGATTTACTCGAGCGAGGCAAAATAACATATGGGCAGCATTTGCACCTAGTTGAGTACTCGCACCATACCTGAGCCCTCTATGTAGGGCCGAACGTCTAGGGCAGCAAAAACAAAATTTCAACAAACGGTCATGACTGTTGGTCGCGCCCAAATCGACAATCTTTTGAATTTAAGTTACCAGAGGGTTCATGTAATGTTTCTAAGAACGGAAAAAATATTGATTTGTCGCGGTTTGCATGATATGGGGGTGGCCGTACGATGGGGTAGAATATAGGAAAAAATTACCGAGCGCGTCAGACATTGAGAAGGGATGTTACGTGAACCCTCCAGTAGCTCCTCTTCAAAAGACTGACGATTTGGACCCGACCAAAAGTCATGGCCGTTTGTTGAAATTTTGTTATTGCTGCCCTAGACGTTCGGCCCTACATCTCTATGCAGGCTCAGGTATGGTGGGAGTACTTAACAATATATAATAACAATAAGTAATAACATATGGGAAGCAACCTTGCACCTAGCAAGGTTGCTCCCCATATGTTATGTTTACATAGACGACCTCCGTGGTCGAGTGGTTTGTACGCCGGGTTTCATAGTGTTGCCGACTAGAGAGGTCCTGGGTTCGAATCCCGTTGGGGGCAGATGTTTGTGTGATGAATACAAGCATTTGTACTCCAGTCAGAATGTTTAATATGTATTTTTATATATATATATACTTATGTACAGTATATGTATTCTATCCGTTACCCTAGTATCCCATAACACAAGCCTTACAGTACTTACTTTGGGGCTAGGCTAATTGGTGTGAGTGTTGGAAATATTTATTTATGTTATTCTGCCGCGCTCGAGTAAATCCAAAAATCCCCGCTATAGTAGGGGCTATAGTATAATCTTCATGCTAATGTTTGAACATGCGATGCTTCAGAACTGAATGGCAATCCGTCATTGGAACCGGTGGAATTGCATATGTATCAATAGTTTCGTTCCTGTTATCCGTTATGGTATGGCACTCATAAGAACACAATTTGACTTTCAGGATTATCGTTAATGTACTGTCTATTTTATTAATGAATATATTATTCTTATAGGAGATTTAAATATTTTCTAGGCAACTTAAGACACTTAATGAGTCAGTCACTATTCAAATATTGATGTCAGCTTAAGCAGTGGTATAATGTGATGCTGCACTTAAAGCATAGGCTTCCGCAGTAAGGATCGAAGCATTTTCTAAGTGAAACAACGCCCAAATTTTGACAGAGTCGTAATATGCTGCTTTTGTATTGTTTTCCGTTTTAGATCCATCTGTAGGTATATATATCCGACGGTATTCTTTTTTTCTCAGTATTAACCATGGACGTATATTAACAATATATAAAAAGTCATTATTATTTGATACTCTCTCTTAAAGAACGGAAGGTGTAGTAAGTACTTGTACTTCTAAAGAGCTTAAATCCCATTTGTCTTTATGGTCTATACATTCACAAATGTTATTCAATTCAAAAATATGATAATTTTGCAATAGTCTATTGTATTTATGTAAATGTGAGTATTCTTTAGACGCTAAAACTATAACATAAAACTTTTCAGTAAGGTAACGCAGTCTAATAAGAATGGGCGGTATGCCAGCCTCTATTTCAAGCGAATTTATAGGAGTTGAACACATTGCTCCTGTAATAATTCTTAATCGCTTATTTTGGGTTACTTCTATTTTCTTCAATAAAGGCTGGCTTAAATGTTTCCCGTAAATTATTAAACCTTAATCGTCATAACTTCTGACAATGGATTAAGGAATCATGTTCAGTAATATGGGGTCCATACCATGCCCCAATCAACATTCGTGAGACATCTCATTATATTATCGATGTTTTGCATTTCATATAGTATTTACAACAGGACACTTAAAATGCATTTAAGAGTCAAATATTACTCATAAAAATCATTTTCATTTACTAATTTGATATTTACAGTCTTAAACAATTTTTATATTTACAGCGTTATAATCTATCTTATTACTAAAAATCAAAGAACTTTTATGTGGGTTAATATCTAAGTGGAGCATATTTATTTGTATAAGAAGAACAAAGTAGATTCGCTTAGTTCTTTTTCCTTCCTTTAATTTCAAGTCCTTCATTTAAGGAATTTACACCCTGTATTAAATTTTTATTTTTAGTCATAATTACAATACCTATTATCTGCATGTTGAAGAACTGTTTTGTTTTGTTAAATGCACATATTTATGTAACAATGACGTATATAATAAATACATTAAAGGTGAGAAGTGACTCCTTGCGTTACTCCTTTATGTGCCAATTTTGGACCGTGTAGAATGAAGAAATGAAGCATGTGGATTTTACATTATTGAAAGCACCGCTGACGTCAAGGAATGTGCAAATTAAGTAACCAAACTGTCTGTAGTACTACGTTCTTTACGGAACCCAAATTGATCTGAAGGAATGATAGACCTCGATTCTACATAGAACTCTAATCTAGTTTTTAACATATTTGAATAATTTACATAGGCAAGAGGAAAGTGATATAAGCCTGTAGGATACGGCAAATAATGGGTCCTTATCGGAATTTAAAATAGGGACAACTGCTAAGGTTTTCCAAGTTTTTGGGATAATATTTTGTTGTACTAAACTGTTATATATGTAGCAAAACCATTTTGGCTGCAAAATGAAGCCGTTTTATTAAGACATATGGAATATTGTCTTGCCCCGGAGTGCTATCTTTTCTTTTATGAATTCATCAGCAGTAAACGGTGTTATCAAATGAGCATTTAGTTCATTGTTACTGAAAACATCATTTAAAGCATCGTTTTTTACAGGGGCTTGGTTTGCTATGATCAGAATGGTTAATTATGGCCTTATTACAAAGCGCATACTCAAGTTAAACATGGGCTAAAAATGATGCTGTTACTTTTTTTTGCTAAAAACAAGACTACTTTATTTTGCGTTTTACTTCCCGACGACAACGGCTAACTAGACCCGAGGTCCGAGTCTCAGAGACGACCCTCTAGTTGAGCCGATCCCCTCAGGTTCGAGTGGTCTTGAGGTTCCAGACGGAGAGGAGACTCCCCCGCGGGGAGATGCCATCCGCCTGGAATACTTCTAGAGGCACTCGCCAATTCTCGGCTTGAGGTCCCCTTAGGATCTCGCCGTCCCCAAACCCGGTGACGTTGTAAAGGTCATCTGCTGCGACCAATAGCGTACGCACACAAAAAAAAAGTTTTTAAAAAGGTGGTATAAGTTTGTTAAATTACAGGCGGTATATTATAATTTGATTAAAAAAAAGTAAACAACACTATAAGGCCCCGGCGAGATTCGAACTCACGATCTCCTGTTTACTAGACAGGCGCTTTAACCAACTAAGCCACGGCGCCACGTATGACGTTTGGCAAAAATTGTCTACACTACTCACTTATTTCTACAATATCAATTTAGTCGCAACTCACACTGGCGCAGACTCGAAGCGTTGCGTGTTTTTTCGCCTTACCTTACAGTGGGAAATTAAAGACGAATTGGCTACAGGCAACAATATATAATATATACAGGGTGTTACAAAATACAAATAAAGCTTAAAGGGCGTTTAAGTACATCATATAAGGAGTCTTCTCTAATTTTCTTAAAATATTTGCATGAAGTTTTAACTTTTTATAGAAACAGTTATTTTTAATGATCCTCGAACTAGTGACATGTCTAAAATGATCGATATTTTTATTAAGCATTAAAAATAACTGTTTTTATGAAAAGTTAAAACTTCATGCAAATATTTTAAGAAAATTAGATCTAATAGTGCGTTGCTCCATTCCCATAAGCCTATGCACCGCCTAATGTGGTCCGTACATACGACAGCGATTTCGAAACGAATACAACAGAGGCAATCAAAGTGCAAGTAAAGTGTTCAAGTGCGATTGTTTAAATACTCGTATAGTGAAGTACGAGTGAGGAACTCGATGGCGCAAGTGGTTAGCGCGTTCGGCTGCGATCGTTGAAATTAAGCAACTTTCGCAATGGTCGGTCATTGGAAGGGTGACCAAAAATTACTATCTCGAGCTCCTCTGTGCTTCAGAAGGCACGTTAAGCCGTCTGCAGGCTGCATCTGCAGTCGTTAGCACCCATCAATCGGCAGTGGGCCCGCGTGGTGGGTAATGCCCAATCTCACTATTCCATCCATAGGGAAGGCCTGTGCCCCAGCACTGGGGACATTAATAGGCTGGTGATGATGATGATAGTGAA